GTACGTATGTACTTTATCCATGGTTAAAAGCTTAGTGCATCTGAAAAGACTTCTTGTTTCTCATTGTGATCAAATGGAAGAGGTAATAGAAGGAATGTTAACAGAAGAAAGCAGCAGCAACAGCGTAAGGGTGTTTCCTAAACGACTTTTTGATGCTCAATTTGCTCCCCCAACTCAAAAGATTCTGTCGTGGAACTAATCCGATTGAATTTCCCTCTCTAAGGCATTTAAGTATACAGAGTTGTCCAGAATTGAACACGTTAACTTGTAATGAAAACAGCCAAACCAACAAGTCACTTGATCACAGCTATCTCTTCAATGAAAAGGTATGTTTTAATTTAGAATTCTTTTAACTCATTCTTGAATAAGGTTAAACCGCAGGTATTATATTTACTCATCACCTGATTCATGAAACAATTAGAAAAATAAAAATGTAGGTGATACTTCCTCTGCTAGAGAAACTGGAATGTTACAAGATGGACAATGTGGAAAGACTATGGCCAAACCGACTTGCTGAACATTCCTTTTCCAAAATAACTTGCATTCATTTGAGTTTTTGTCCCAAGTTATCAAATGTTCTTCCGTTGAGTATATCGACAAGTTTCAAAGGCTTGGCAGACTGAGTATATGGAATTGTGAATCACTAGAAAAAATAATATCCGAATCTCAATCTCCAGAAAACGGCAGCGGCAGTGCTATGTCATCACTTGCTCCGCAACTCGTTCAACCAGATGTTATTACACTTGAGTTCCCATACCTGACTTTCTTGTTTCTCTCTGACTTGCCAAATCTAAAGAGTATCCATCATAAAATGCACACTGCAAATTGGTCGTCATTGAAAAAGATGGTGATAAAGAGATGTGACAAAGTGGAGACGTTGTTTGCTTCTCAAGAAACAAGTGGGAACACTAGTCAACGGTCCCTCTTTTGGGTGAATCAGGTATCGTCCTAATTTCTAAACCATTTTAGTATTAGAATCTCGTTCAATATCCAACAGTGCAAGTTAACAAGCAACTGTGAATTGTGCAGTTTACATTTCCAAATCTGCTTCAATTGACTTTGGGATGGAATGCCGGGATGGAAGAGATATGGCATTCCGAAGGCTGACAACAGCATCTATCTCACTACTTTGGCAATCTAAAAGTTGTCAAACTAGAGAATTTTCCGCAGCAACTAACTTTGTTGCCATCTTACTTGTTCCAGTTGTTATCTTTACCTGATCTTCAGTCACTTGAAATAAGATGGTCTCGGTTTCAAGAGATGATATTCCAAAGTGAAGGAGTAGGCCTAGGTGGTAAGGAAAACCCTGCATGGCTGCTACTCTCTCATATAACCATATTAAAGTTGTATTTTCTTTACGGAAAGAAAGGGAAGGATTCACAAATCTAAGGATTTTGCACGTGCAAAATTGTTCCCGGTTGAAATTTAACTTAGTTCCATCCTCGGTATCTTTCCTAAATCTGGTGACATTGAAAGTACTATTTTGTCATGGAATCATAAAACTAATCACACATCCCACATCCCACATCCCACATCCAAAAGTCTAGTGCAGCTTAAAGAAATGAGTATACGGAATTGCCGAATGCTAGAAGAAATAATACAAGGTGGGGATACTGATGATCACCGCAATGAGATCAGTTTCCCTCAACTAAACCGTTTGGAACTCAAAGATCTACCAAAGCTTGAAAGCTTCTGCTCATCAGAGAAGTATACCTTTGGATTCCCATCCTTAGTAGTTCTACTTCTAGATAATTGCCCAGATATGAAGATGTTCTCTCAAGGAGACTCGAGCACACCTATGTTGCACAAAGTAGGACTAGATGAGTGGGGAGAAGAAGAGCGTCAGAAAGGCAGCCTTAACAGCACCATACAACAGTTATTCAGACAAAAGGTACGCTTTCTCGAGTTTATTTATCATTAAGTATTTTACAAGCGCGTTATATACTGATGAATTTCTAATCTCTTAGTGTACAGTACCGGAAAATAGTCGATGAGAATGCTTCCCCTCCTATTCCTCTCTACCTTGATTAAGATTGATTTAATGGCTTGTGAGGAATGAATCAGTGTTGAAGGTAAAAGAATGGATTGATAAAACTTGATCCCTTCACTAGATTAAAGCTGTTGATGATGTATTGATAGAACTTAATCCTATAGATTGTTAATCTATTGTCAGATTTCAGGTCAAACAATCGTCTATTTTTTTGTGGTCACCTTGCTTTCAAGGTTCTACATACGAAATCTGATAAGGATATGTCTGTTTTGTTTTTGGGTCCTCTTGGTGTAATGGATACAACTAGTGTTGAACTTCAAGCAGTCAAGCTGGTGATGGAGGTTTTCTTGCAAACTGAAAGGAAGAAAATAAATCCGCTTGATAATTGAATCTGGTTTGGTTATTACAGTAAACGAATACTTGAAGAATGATAGTCAACCATGGCCTAATACTTGTGCTTGTACTGGTTTTGTATTGTGCTGCTCTCTCTTGTTCCTATAAATGGTAGGAACTATCATTAAGTGTACCTAAGATAAAGTAAGTATTATCAAAGAACCCATCTTATTGAAGCTAAGGAAAACCATCCGCATTATATGCAGGGACGAACCCAAAATTTTATATCAGGGGTGAACTTGAACTTATAAATTCCATGGGACAAAAATAGATTTTCAATAAAAATACATAAAAAAGATCTAAAATATATAATAATTTTAAATTTTCAGGGGAGGCGACTGCCCCCTTCGATCCATCCCCGATTATACTTACATATGTGCTTACTTGAATTAGGTCATTCATAGTTAGAAGTTAAAGAAATGCCCTGATATATTATGGAATTTTGCACTTTTTCTATGAGATTCTACATTTAATAATCCTTAAGAGAAATTCAGGTCGTTTACAACAGAGAAAAGAAAAGGAATAAATTAAAATGAATTTAGACTTACTTGGACGTTAAAGGCTTGCTTTGATCTTCTTTAGAATTCTCACATTCTCCGATCACGGAATGCTGTAAGGATCACCAAATCATATAATGAATGTATCAAAGCAAAATGCATAAATTACATAACAAACATATAAGAATCACTAAGTCCATATCAGCCGTCAAAGTAGAAAAGACATTGCAATTAGCAAATTGGATTGCGTAGAAACCCCAAGTTGTGAAAAGGGGGAAGAAAATCACTAAACCCTGTAAAATTACCCAGAATTCTACCCATAAAAACTATATTTAAACATAAACAAATAATCACAATCTGTATTTGATCAGACGACACTCAAAAATCAAAATAAACAATGAAAGCTAACCACGACAATGTAAATTGCAAGTATAGAAGAAACATCCAACACAGGAATGAAATTGACGAGAAAAAGAACCAACCTTATCCGTCAAAAATGGACCAACCATTTGAGAAAAACAACAGCTAATGATCCTATAATTTTAAATAAAATTTCCCAATCTGATCCAATGCCGAATTCACCTTCCATAGACCATAAAGAAGAAACAAGCTAGTTCCTTTTAATAACAAATACAAGATTGATAAAAGGGGGGATAGTATTTTTAAGAATTGGGTAAAATACATTATTCTTCACTGATTTTTATTATCTCTCATATTTTACTCGTTGTACTTTCAATTTTTTTAATTTACTCACTAAAATTTTGAATTATTCATATTTTGAACATTGACATCATTTGCACAATACATGAGCTCGGACCAATTTTCAGTGACAGCATTTTAACATGCATGTGAGTATAAACAAAGCAATTCTAATATGCTGAAGTCATGAGAGGAAGTGAAAGGTCAGTAACTATTGTATTTGGGGTTGTTGAGGTTTAGGCTTTAGATGAATGATTAAGACAATAGGCCGGGCCCGGCGCAGGGGGTGTTGTTAATACAGAGATATAGTTACCGTCTTACCAATACAACGTACAACAATATGAGTGTGAGGGTGTTGGGATTTGAAACAGGGTTTACGTCTACAAGCAACGACGATAATGACAATAAAGACAGGATTAAGGATAAAAGATTTTTTTTTAAGAAAAATATTTTCGGAGTTTTTTTTAATATAGCGAAAACTATATATTTTTAAAAGTTTAGGGATTAAGTTATAAATTATTATTTTTATTAATATTTAATGTTATCAAAATAACGACACAATGACTAAAATACAATAAATCAATAACGAAAATGATTAAAATATTACTTTTTTTAAACCAATAACCAAAATAAAAGAGACAAAAAATAAAAGAGACCACCAATATAGTTTATCCTAAATTATTATCCTACATCATTAAAAAAATATCTAAATTTTTTAGGGTAAACTACGTGTTTAATATTTAAACTATCATTTTTGATATGTTTTAATACCTAAACATTCATTTTTTTCAAAATCATGCCTAACGTTTAGTTTTTATTTAATGTTAGTATGCGTCATTAAAAACTTAACGCATTTAGTACATAAATTATCACTTTTGGTCCGTTTTATTACATAAACTTTCAATTTTTTTAAAACTTAATGTTAAATTTTAAACGGGGTACAAAAATAAAACAAAAACTAAACTTTAAATATGATTTTGAAAAATTAAAAGATTATGTAATAAAACTAACTAAAATTAAATAGTTTAGATACTAAACATGTAATTGATTCATTCTTTTATACAAATTCAATCAAAATCTTGTATATCAAGCTAAATAAAAATGAAAATCTTATATAAATCCTACCACCATTACTCTTGGAAGGCTATATATAATTTTTTTAATATAAATTCTAATTACGTCTTAAGTATGTTCTAAACTCTAGACCGAGAGACCCCGCTCTTACTTAAACTTTATGTAAAAAAAAATGAAAATCTTGTATATAATCCAACGGACCAAAGTACCCTTCTAGGTCAGTTTAGGCGGCGTTCAATAGCATATAGGTAGAGGCTAACATTGGTCAATATGAACCAGGAAATCAACAGAAAAAAATCTATATATTTTGATTGCGAAGCTCGTTATTTCTATTCGACTGTTTCAGATTCCATGAAAATCAAGAAGGGGAAAGAAAACCCTAATACCTATTCCTATTTTTGTCGACTTTGAGTGTAGAAATCAAAGCAAACCCTCAACTGGACGACATGGGTTCTGAACAGAATCAAGGAACTAGCTTTCCCCCTTCGGAGCCGAAGCTTTGCGCCAACGGTTGTGGGTTTTTCGGCACGGCGGCGAATATGAACCTCTGCTCCAAGTGTTACCGCGACCTCCGTGCCGGGGAGGAGCAAGCGGCGAAGGCGAAAGCTGTCATGGAGAAATCCCTCAGTGTCAACGCGAAAGACGAGGTCGTCGTTGAAGCGATTAAGCCGGTTGAGGAGTTGCCTTACGAGGGTTCCTCATCGACGGCGGTTGAGCAACAACCGGCCGTGGTCCTCACCGGCAATGAAAAACCGGTGCCGAAGTTGTCGAACAGGTGCTTTATCTGCAAGAAGAAGGTGGGATTGACTGGGTTCAAGTGCCGTTGCGAGAGTACATTCTGCGGCGAGCATCGGTACCCGGAGAAACACGAGTGCTCCTTTGATTTCAAGGGAACCGGACGTGATGCGATTGCCAGTGCGAATCCCGTCATTAAAGCCGAAAAAGTGGAGAGGTTCTGAAAGTGTATTGTGTTCTCCAATGGGTTTGCCTTCATTTTCTTTCCCTCACAGCTCTTTGAGGTTTCTATTAGGGTTTAAATTCAGCGGAAAATTGGGTGATTTTAATGTTCTTGATCTTGTTCTATGGGAAGTTGAAATGATTGGGACAGTAATGGGGTTTAGCTTAGGTTGATTCATAATAAAAATGGGTCAATGAATGTTTCTGGTTTGATCTTCATCATATCTATATTTGTTAAATATAATATATTTTGAAGCTATCTATTTTATATTCCTGTTGGATTCAAATCTTATCAAATTTTCTGTTGATTGATATAAGGCTGTATTTCTCATGAACAGCTCTCATTCTTGTTATCTGGTTATGCATGCGCATCAGTTGTCTACCACTCTTCAAATGCATAAAATTGTGGATTTTGTTTCTTTCAATGTTATTTTTGTTGCTCCGTCATTCGGCCGATACAAATACGAGAACATAGAATGGCCAATACTTGTAGGAGAACATAGAATGACTGATACATATACAAACATGATTATGAGAACATATGTCGGAAATCTCGGTTAGAACCTTATGTTGGACAGACATTGCATCCTACACTTACTCTCGAATCCGAGTAACATGATTGTTCTTTTACATGAATCGAAGAAACACAAGGTTTTCATTTCCTTATGAACTCTTCCTTCATTGTTCTGTGTTTCTGTATTGGACCTGCATTTTGTTGTGTGTTTGATCTCTTGGTTCATGAAAACTTCTGAAAATTTTACTCTCTATGATTACTGGAATGGAATTGAAGTTTCCAACATTGATCACAAGAATCACCTATTGCTATTTCTCATTGTTTACAAGCTTCCTGCAGTGAGAATGATAGTTTAACACGGGGATATGATATAAGAATCTCAAAGTCGAATCGAACTGCTCGAGTTCACTCTGTTGACTTTCGTGCTTTGAAACGAAAATTCGGTTAAGGTCACAAGCTATTCGAGTTCAGTATTAGAATATCCGATTTCGGTTTGTTTAAGGTATGAACCAGAACATGAATTATAATGTGAACATGTTTGGAAATTTGTCTAAATAAAAATGGTTGCGGGGCATGGGAAGCCTTCAAGGCCTGAAGTAGAATCAGATCTATAACCCAACTTGGTCAACTTGAATATACCCGAGTTAAACAGATAGATGGAACGACTGCGATCGTATCGTTGAAAATTTTAAGTCATTGTATAATTTAAAATTTTATGTTTTCTATTGATGATATAATTTTTCATTTCTTAACTTTATATTATAATATTCTAAAGTTTATGTCCTTTAATATAAAATCGTGTGTCTATCATTGTTTACGTTCATCATGCGTCATCCTTTTGAATTTAAATTCTAATTTATCGATAATATTTAATGAGGTAAAATTCTAGACTAATGCTTATGCCGAGCTTGATAAATTATAAGAAACCCCATTTTTTGTTATGATTTATTATATTTTAATTTATATTATTAATTAGATCATTAATTTTCATTCAATCGATCAATGTGACTTAATTCTGATAGTATTAAATTTTATTATTAAATAACTTTTTTAAAATACTGATAATTAATATTATAATTTAAGCAACCTTTAGGAAGACAAAATCTTGGTTCTTAAATATGGGCATACATATTTCCGGCTTGCTGTTGGGCTCCTGAGTGGCACAATGTTTCAAATTAAATGTTGGACCATTAATGTTGTTGATTCGTCTCAAAACATTAGTCCCATCAAGCGTATACAAAGAAGTAAATATCATAAAACAATCATATTATGTCTTTTTTTTTATTGAGTTTTTTCACTTTTAAATAATTTTATTTTTATCTTTGTGACACGTTTTTATCTGTTCTTGTGACACGTTCCTTATAATTTTCAATAAGTTTTTCGCATACTTCTGTGGTCGTGTTGATGTTTCTACAAAGATCTTCACAGCATTTATTGTCTGATTGACTTGTTGATGGTCAAGTATTGTCATATCCCCTCTTTTGTAAATGGTCATTTGCCAATATAATCAGAATTGTGTAGCGAAGTAATCTGTCAAATTGTTTGGTTCACTCACCACTCCTTTATCACATCGTAAGGCGTCTCGTTCGACAGAGACACTGAATTTTATGAAGGTTAATTGATTGTTTGGAAAGTTTCATTTTCTTTGTATCCTTAAGCTTAATATATCAATTTTATGTACGAAGTCTTTGGTGTCTATTGTCTCCAATTTTTTCTTTAGATGCATTTTGATTTTGATTCCTTCATTTTACTTAATGAAATTCAGTTGCAATTGTTCAAGATTTAACCAAATTTCATAATAGCTTTTTAAGTTGTTATTTAATAGATATAAATATTAAAATTATATTACTAACAATCCATTTGGCTAATGAGATTATATTTTTTTATTAAACTAAAGTGATTACTTAGATTTCTTTTTTATTAAGCTAAGGTGATTACAAAGTAGTATTTGTTCTAAATACTCTAAACAATTTGACAATAAACGCTCAATCACCATGTTGTAGCCGTTGGTGCTCAAACTTGTAACCTCTAGGAACAAAAACGATTCATTTAACCACTGAGGTAAGTTGGTTCGTGCTAGTGAGATTAGATATTATATCTTCTAAGATTAGAAGTGCAAATCTTGCAATTTATGAATAGAACAAACCATGTTAAAAGAGTTGCCCCATAATAGACATTTACAAAATTTGATCCAAAAAAGTCCATTAATAGATAAAAAAAACGAGTGATTAAATCAAAGGGATAAAATTATACGTTTAGTACCTAAACTATCACTTTTATTCTATTTTAGTATTTAAACTTTCATTTTTTTTCAAAATTATACCTAACATTTACTTTTTCTTTCATTTTAGTACTCCACCATTAAAAACTTAAAGAATTTGCCTTTTTATGGGTAAATTACACCATTCATCACTCAAATATCTTCTCACTCATATTTGGTCATTGAAATTTATTTTTTTAGTTTAATCTTTTAAATTTCAAATTACTTCTATTTTAATCACTCTAACTTATTTTATTAATATTTTCTATGATGTGATATTTTTTAATTATTATTTTATTAAAATATGGTTTAAAAAAAGGAGTGGATGAGTTGGAGAGGCAAATAAGAGTGAGGTCGTGAGGGTGAGATGAGTAGTTTGTGATTTAGGGTTTGTAGTATAATTTTTGGGCTTGGGTTTAATTTTAATTTTAAATTTTTATTTTAATTATATATTAATAAATAATAATAAAAATGTCATGTCATGAAAAATATTTTAAAAAAAATTAGAGTGATTAAAACAAGAATAGTTTGAAAGTTGAGTAGTTAAATTGAAAATTTCTAAACTTCAATGACCAAAATAGGACTAAGAAGATTATTGAGTGATGAATGATGTAATTTATCCATAAAAATGCCACATACAACAATTTTGTTATGTTTTTAAATACTGAAATTAAACAGAGAGTGTTAAGTATGGTTTTTAAAAAAAATAAAATTTAGATACTAAAATATAACAAAAGTGATAGTTTACATACTAAACATGTAGTTGATCCAAACCAAAAAAATGAAATTACGTTTTTGCACTAAAAAACAAGTCTCTGTCTTCGGTTTGTGCCTCTTCTGGGCCAAGGAAGAGTAGCCCTTGGTCCCTTGGAGGAGGTGCAACTGCCAAAGACGATTCTGGGGGTTTGTTCTCTCTGCTTATTTTACTTTGGGGTTGGTTTGATCTCTTCGATGATGCATTTTTCTCGGTTTTGTTTCATTTGATTTGTTGATGATTATATCATGCATTGTGCGATGTTGCATCTTGTGAGGCATTTTTATATGTGTTTTTGGATGGCTGTGAGATTACGGCCACGCAATGCAGAAGAATCGGAGGCAGATGCTGATTTTGCTGATTGTGTAGAACTTCAACCAGAGGTAATTTGATGCCATTTGATGGTTATATGTGCTGGCGGATCATTGCTTTTGCATGCTGCAGCCTATCTAGTTGGTTTTCAAATTACTTGAATTTAGGTCCAGTCCGATTTGTGCGCGTTCTTCTTATTTAAAGGGGCACTGATGCTTGGTTCATAATTTCAGTTTAAGAGGTTAAAGCTTCGGAAGAACAATTGGGACACAGACACGTATATGTTTGATGATGTGCTCACAGAATTTGCATCACAGAAGCGGGTGTATGAACTTGTCGCAAAGCTGGTTGTCGAGGTTCGTGTACATGACAGACATATATTTATGACGAGGGTATCATGAGATGTAAGTTGGACCAAATGTAAAAATGATTTGTTGATGAAGAAACCATAAGATTAGATGAACATAATGTAATGGGGAAAAAAAGATGTTGGATGGGATTCTTGGACAAATTCTATTATTAGATAATATATATAGGTACGATTTGTTCAATTGTATATAACTATTTTAATTTTATGCCTTTTTAATATATTAGTGTTTTTTTTTTTGTAAAAGGATACTTTATATTAAAGAATTACAAAGTAACCACCCCCAATGATCTCGTTAAAAAATCTCTCTAAGCCTAAACGGAGGAAAAAGAAAGTAACCACCCCCAATGATCTCGTTAAAAAATCTCTCTAAGCCTAAACGGAGGAAAAAGAGTACATCATGGAATGGAATAATACAAGTATCAGACAAGAAAATTACTAAACACTGGAATCCTATCGATAAACAAACCCCATGATTCTAGCAAAACCAACGCAAAGATAATGCACAGCTCCCTATTTGCAAAGAAGGCAGAGGGGAGCATAGGCCTAAACCAGTTGAACATGCAGCAGCAATAAAAAAACAGAAGCTATAAAAGCCAAATACGATTTGAACAAGCAGCAAAACACTAACGAATTCAGGCCAACCTACACCGAAGCAAACAAACAAACTAGTATTCACTCTCAATTCTCACTTCTTCCTTTAGCACGCCCATCTCTTTGTTTCCCTCCATTTCCTTTGAGTTTTCCAACGCTCTAAGCTTTCTTGCTTAGTGAAGGTTCGGGTTACTTAGCCGATTTTCGACCTTGAAAACGTCTAAGGCCGCACGACCTTGCTAGCAGCAGTCTAGCCCCATGACAAGTGGTTGAGTAAAAATAGAACGTTGAGATTAACACTAAAAAATAAGAAGATATTCATTAGGAAAAATAACAAATAGATAATCTTAACATTCTATTCTATTCATACAATGATACTAAAAAGATCTAAAACTAATAATTTTACATTAAATACAAGTGGATTTTAACTTTTATATATATATATATATATATGTGTGTGTGTGTGAGAGAGAGAATATGTCTAATTATATAGTATAAAACATTTTAATTTTATAAAAATTTAAGATCTTTGGATGAGTGAAAATGGATAGTCGAAATTAACAGTAAAAAATAAGAAGATGTATATTAAAAAAACAAAGAGTCCATCTTAATTAATCATATAATTTAACATATCCAATTGTTTTAAAATTATATTAAATTTAAAAGTTTTACGATATAATTAAAAGTGAATTATAACATATCTATATACAAATTCGACATGAAGATGGTTTGTTCATTGCCTTGCTTGAATTAGATGGGTAAATTGCCTCGAAAAAGAACTTGTTCAGAGCAGCATGCACGTGTGAAGCAGTAGACCGAACCTTTCTTGTCTCCCCCACCCCTTAAGAAGAACAAAACCCTAACTAAGATTCCCTCGACAACAAGCATTTCAGCACCACAAGGAGTAGATATAAACTAAAACCAACTTCCTTCTGTGAAGTCCTTGTTTTTACTGTTGGATCGAGTTGTTGTTCCATCGAAACGTAAGCTTATTCTCATAAAATCAAATGGACCATGAATTTACAGTCATTCAATCAACCATGCAGGCAAGAATGATCTACTCCTCAAATTCAATTCAAAACGAAAGAAAGGATAAGAAACATGGAAACAACAAACCCAGATTTTCTAGCTATAAACTAGGTTTTCTCACCGGGCAACTAGAATGGAGGATGATCACCACTGGCCCAAAATGCTTCATTTGGTAACTGAATGGAATTTAGAAGATTTTGTTGGAGTCCATGAAAAAATGGCGCATTTGACTCGGGCGCCACTTGTTGTTGTTGGCCGCCGACTGCATCCAACGACGATTCGATCGGACCGCTTTGCATCGGTAGATGCGGCGGTTCTTCTTCTTCCAATGGAAGCCGCTCATAAGCCGCGTTACTAAAAGAAGCTGCCATAATCACAACAGGTCCTGAACAGGTTAGAGTTCCAACAACACTGCCACCTACGACCTGTCCTTGTCCGCCGGATAAGTATATGGATAGCCCCGTGGCCGAAGGCGGTGCCGGAGGAGGCAAGAACGAACCCGACAACGATAATATCTCGAAACGCCCGTGTAAGCTCACAATTGCACCAGCCGAGGCTGGTTGCCTAAGCGTAACGTTAGTAACGTTCCCCGTCCCACTCATGATGCAAACCCCTCTCTGGCGCTGCCTGGCGAACGCGGTGACGCTATCGACGATGTCGCATCCATCGCCGATCTCCATCACGTGGGTGTGTAGAGCGTTGGCGCTGTCTCGAGTGATGATGATGGGCGGCTTAGGCTTGTTCTTGGATCCAGCAGGCCTGCCTCGTGGCCTTCTACTCATCTCGCCTTCACCTTCATGGATGCTGCCGAGCTCTTTGCCTTCAGCTACACCGCCGCCGCTGCCGTCGTCTTCGCGATCCCGTTTCTTTACGCCGCTGCTGCTGCCGCTTTGTTCGTCTTCTTCCGAGTTCTGGTGATGGAACTGATGATGTTCCTGTTTCTGCTGCTGCTGCTGCTGATGGTGGTGAAGATTGAAATCTCTTATGTTAAACGGCGGCTGAAGAGACAAACCACCATGCGATGTAACCGGATCCATTGCTTGAAGCTCCAACAAGGAAAATCAAAAACTCAGCTGAAAGCAATGATTAAAACACCCAAAAGAAATAATTAAAAGCACTAACTAAAAGGAAGATAGTGGGAAGAAAAAGAGGGATTTAAAAATATAATTATAAGGAAATTATTGGGTCTTCTCTTTCCTCTTTTTTTTTCTCTTTGCTTTCTTTCTTGTTGAATGAACCATCAACACGCAGCAAACCCTATACCTTAACCCAGAAAATTGAGATGATTTTCAGATGGAAAATTTACAATTTCGCTCCCTCTATTATGTTATGTGTTTTAATTTGACATGATTATTAGTTTAATTGGTTTAAATAGTATATGGATTAATTATGGATTTGAGCATAATAAAAGGATTAAATTATAATTTAACCAAAATAGATAGAGGCGAATTGGGTCAACTTAGTTTCCGCAAAGTCTGGTTGTAGCGGTGGAGTAAGTAAGGGTCCCCACTTCTCTTTCTATCTCTATCTCAAAGTTGGCCACTCCAATTCATTATCCAATTGGAAATAGATAATTAAGAAAAATATTTATTTTCACTTACTTTTTTTTTCTTCATATACTTACATATATGAACATTTTATTTTTTATTGCCTTAATAGTAGTATATGAGAACCACAAACTTTTCTAAAAAGTTCAATTTGGTCTTTGAATTTTTTATGCTTAATATGACTCGAGAAAAAAAAGTAAATTTAATCCTATGACCAATAGAATAAACCATTGATTTTTATGATAATGATATAATGATTCACGATATTGATTTGGTGATATACAATACTAATGTGATTGTCTATTGTGTCGATATAGTGGTCCATAATGCATGATGGCATGGTAAAGGGGCTAAACTATTTTTTATCAAGTTCAAGAGCCAAAATAATCTACTTAGAAATTTTGAGGACTTATTTAATTTTTAAAAAATAAAAATATTTTAATTTTAATTTTAAAATATACTAACATATCCAAATATTCAAAAAAGTTAGATGTAAAATATTAATATTAAAATTAAATTATTAAAAAAAATACTACAATACTATTAAAATATTAAAAATACGCCACAATATATAAAATAAATAATTATTAATTTTTAAAAAATAATAGAAAAAAATTTAAAAAAATGTATATTATACATAATATATACATGTAATATATAGACACAAAGACAAATAAAGCACATTCATATAATCAAACTAACAAAGCAAATGTTATTTTTAATTTCGTATACATATCAATCATCACTAAAGATGTCATACACTTTTATATCATATTTGGCGCATATTAATCATGATTTTATAATCGTACAGTCACATCATCAACTCTTATACAAAGTATTCTTACTAGATTAGTCGAACCTTACAAATTTTACATCTAAATATAGTTAGGAAGCTCTAATCATATTTAAAAATAATTATTTAGCATCGTTTTATATACTATCTTATTATACGATGTGCAAGGGCTTGCAAATAACCTTTAAAATTGATCGAATTATGATTATATGTGTGCATTGATGCGAATAGCTCAATATGTTTCCTAACTATATTTGATGTAAAATTCATAAATCTTGACTAATCTAGAAAAAATACTTTGTATAAGTGCTCATGATATGACTAAATAATAATGAAATCAAATTTAATAAGTATGTGTGACTTTATCTTATCGACTAAATGAATATGATTAATTTATCTTTGTGTATATATATTACATGTATATCTTATGTATAATATATACTTTTTTTTAAATAGTTAAAAATTTAAAAAATTATAATTCTTAAGTTAAGTATATATATAATTATATATAATTAAAAGTATATTATCTTTGTTAATATTTTATGAAAAAATATTTTGAAAAAAACTAAAAAATTAAACGCAATCAACATTATTATGAAAAAATATTTTATTTTAGGTTAAATGTAACCTAACTATTATCTTCTTTATAATATTCAGTCAAGTAATATTTTCGACTAACAATCGAAAAATATTACATTTTTCTTAATATTTTAAAATACAATAAAAAAATACTATGAATAATATAATATTTTAGATTACGTCCAAATTAAAATATTATAATTTTTTCCAATATTTTCAGTTACATTTGATTTTCGATGTTGTTTAGCCTTAAATTAGAGTGATTTTTTTATACTTTTATCTTTATTTTTTATTCAGGGTTTTAATTTATTAGACCTCCAAAATTTTGTTTATTGAAACTTATCTTTTTCATTTACATAAAAACTTGCTGATGTCAATAAATAAATCCTAAACTTTATTTTTTTTAAGGAATGATTAAGATAATTTCTAATAAAAACATCTCGTAATGATGATCTCAAATCCTAACCTAAATGGATTTGCATTGAAGTTTAAGGATATTATTTTTTTAATATTGACCCCCATAAATATAAATGTTCTCACTTCTATCTTAATTATTATAAAAGAGTATTCAGGAATAACTTTGATTTTCTTATTACTTGGTAAACATAGGACTAACAAAAGTTGTTTCATTGTAATTATGTTATATGGTGGTTTTATTTCTCATTTCCTCTTCAGTGACTCCAACAATTAAGGGTTTGATGCATGAACCAATTTACCTTATTGGATAAACGAACCGTTGTTGTTTTTTAAGTTCACGGATTCGAGCACCAACGACAACAACAAAGTGATTGAGCGTTCATTATCAAATGGTTGAGAGTATTTAGAACATATATTACTTTATAATCATCTGACCCGAACCCGAAATTAAAAAAAAACGACCCGATCGGATCAGATTCGGGTCCCATGCCCATCCCTACTCATAACATAAAAAGACAAAAAAAAAGTTATGGAATTTAAATGTAATAATGTCAAACATTTTAGCAAACATTATTTTCGGAAGGATACTGAACTCGTGAAAACTAATATCAGAACGACTTATAAAAAAATACTTTTAAGAATAATAATAATAATATTTATATAACAAGAATAAACATTTTTGATCGATTGATCAAACGACTAAATTTCGGATGGATCAATTGTTATTATGACGAAAATATTAAGAGATTAGATGATAAAGAATATTATATTTTGCACTCTAAAAAAATACTTATAAAAAAATATCTTTTAAGAATAATAATAATAATATTTATATAACAAGAATAAACATTTTTGATCGATTGATCAAACGACTAAATTTAATTTCTCATATTCCTTTAATTATGAATTCTAAATTCACTAATAATATTCCTATTCCTAAAGTCCTTTTTTTCCTATCCTCTAAATAAGATTAGAATTAAATTTAATGTTACTAATGCAAGTTGAGAGAGGACGACCAATAAATAAAATGCATGATGGGTTTTTTTTTTAATTTTATTTGTATAATAAAAAATAATTATATGAATTATCAAATATAAATTCTTATATAAATTCTATATATATATATAGGTATTGTTGTTTAATTTCCTTTAAATTTATGTTTTATTAGATATCTAGGATTGGCCGGCTTCCTCTGGATTTATACAAGGAAAAGGACAAGAAAGAACAGCCACGTTTAGGGTCAGTCAACTCTGGCCATTTTTTAAAATTCAATTTGAGTACATGATAATCTTCGGTTTAATTAAATCTTTTTAGCCCCTAATTTATTTTGCTCGTCTAATTTAATAATTGGAATCTAATTAATAACATTTGTTTATCAAATTTTTATCTTAAAAAAAGAGTTGTCTTAATTAATATTAAAACATTAAAGATAACAATATATTTAAAACGTAAATATTAAAATTTATTTTTTTTTTAAATATTTTTTATCTTACTCAAATACACTATTATATGATTAAACAAATCAACCAAACACCGCCTTGTTGTAAGAAGACAAAACCAAACAAATATATTAAAGAAACACCCCAAGTCCACGGTGACTTGGAATAAAGTAAAATAAATTAAATTAGGGAAAATTACACCCTCCTTCATTGAATTTTATTCTCTCTTGTATTTATCGTATTTTTAATTTTTTTAATTTATTCACTGAGCTTTACAGATTAAATTATTTTGTTCACTCTGTCATTATTTATCTACTTTAGGATGACGTGTACTTTTTTTATTACTTAATATAAAATAATTGAAATATAAAGTGTAAATTACACAATTTCTCACTAAAATTTATTCTCTCTCTTATTTTACTCACACAACTATAGAATAAAAACATAAGATGGTCGGATGTCAACGACGACCACCGTCTACGACCCAAATTTCATGAGTCTCTTCACCTCAACACTTTGAGTGTGAATTCGACCTCTATTTTGTTGGAACTTTCTCTGAAGTTCATGAATTAGAGATTGAAAGTGATGAAGTCGAAATGTTTTAGTCGAGATTCATTGATTTTGGGACATTTTTCGGTGAAACAACCACCAGATTTGGACTCAAGGGGTAGAGAAGAATCGAACCATGAATTTTGAGACCGTACGACCCCATTAAAGACAGTAGAAGGTGTTCGGAATAAAAAATGACGTGTTGGCCAATTGCGGCAATTGGTCACTTTATTTTCAAAGTAGAGATAAAAGGGGGAAGAAGAAGATTTGAAACGACGCCATTTTGGTGTATATTTGATTTTTCAAAACGACGTCGTTTTGATGCTTGATTTATGTCATAACACCGTTAAAAGGTTAACGATAAAGTGAACAAATTGATTTAATATATAAAGTTCAGTGAGTAAATTAGAAAAATTCAAAGTACAGTGAGTAAAATAAGAGATATAATAAAATTTAGTGAGAAATGATGTAATTTACCAATTAAATTAAACAGCATGTGGAAGGCACCCATTCCCTCGAATCTACTATAGATTTTTGCCCATCTTTTTGGCTGTCCTTCTCACCAAGTTTATCCTCTCGATTTCTTACCACATCAAAACCCGAAAATATAAGATAAACACCGACAGTAAATTATATATTAATTACATCTAAAAAAAAAAGGAACTGAATTAATTATGCAACACTCTCACATGTTGGGTTGGGGTGTAATTAAATTAAATCCAAAGCGAAACAGAGTCTTGTACAGTTGTACTTTAAATTAATTGGACATTAAGTAAACTACAAATCAAGGCGTCCACATGATTGATCCATGGCAATCCATGTGGAATCTTGTTGACCGTTTAATCAACTGTTAA